TTTTTTTTTTTTTGATAATGGTTTTAAAAATCAAACTTACCGAACAAGTGGCAGTCTTAATAATAACAGCAAAAGCAACGATAATGATAAGTATAAGCCATCGCGTACGATGTTCAAAACCCGTAAATGTCCAATGACGTGTCATTAAATACCGTTCAATTGAGGCAGCGATCAAACAAAATACAGATGAAATTTTAAATATTTGGGCAAATAAATGAAACGGTTGGGAATAGTGATACCATAGTAAGCAAATTGATAGATCTGTTGTAAATCCGGCACATATTGGTACTGACTAAAAAATAACACATTTTTTTCTAATTAAATAAAAACAAAAAAAAATTTTTTTTTAGTATAAGTCAAATCAGAAAAACATTGCTGATTAAAGAGATCTATAAATAAGCATTGTTTTGCTTGAACTACATTGTTTTTGAATATCTATTTTTTGTCTATAAAAGTCAATTTTTTTAATTTTTTTTCTGTTTAAAAAGTATTAAAAAATTTGAACAACATACGCCTACTGCTTTTTCTGCTTGTGTATTTTTTTATTTTTAGGTTGATTAATTACGACGAAAAGAAAAAGCTTACAAGCAAAACCATATAGGTAAAATCGAGCAGTGTATCGTAAAGAGCAACAAAACCGAGGAAGAAAAATGGTGAACGTCTATAGCTGAGGTTTGACAGAAAAACAATCGTAAGAAGGGCATTGGAGATTACACCAAATATTGCTAATAAAGATCCCGTAATTCCAATTAACCAAAATCTTTCAGTATAGCACTCATTACTGTTATCACACATCTGAAATAAATTTTACTAATTGTTTTGTGATTCATTCTTTTCTTCTTGCATGAATGTTTACTGAACAATTGTTCTAAACTCACGATGCCATTAATTAGAGAATCAAACCATTTATTAGCCGCAATAATCTGATAACTGTTAACAGAGAATAAATCTTTTATACTAACAAACAAATGACAAACTGTTTCAATAGCTTTCAACAATTTGACTTATTGCTGTTTATGATAATGGCTAAAAAAGCGAGAAATTTTGCTTGCTTTGTCGATAATTACCGTTCACCTGTGGAACATCTCAGATCCTTTTCATTTTTTTGTTCTTTTTTTCTGCTGTTATTTTGATCAACATTTATCGTTGTTTTAATAGTTTTCTAGCTTTTTTTCTTCTATATACTCTGCGTTGTTGTTCTGTAAAATCTTTCCTTAACCCTTCATTATTATCACCATCATCACCTTCCACATTGTCGTCATTATCGTCATCACGATATGCGCATTCCTAAAGTATGCCTTACTTGAGTAGCTGTAGCAGTGAAACATCTTCAAAATTTTGCATTTTATGGTATCTGTTTAAATGTACATACGGACATCTGTATGTTGTTTTTGCTGGATAAAGCGAATGGGTTTAGTGACGTGGGATATCTAAGCGCGAATAGAGCAAAACAGCAACTGATACTCTGAATAAAAGAAGAAGTTCAGAGTAACTTTATATTCCATTTTTTTTGTGATCGATTTAACAGTTTTGAAAAGAAAAGTTTTTTTTGATTGTTAATATTACTGCTATTGTTGCTGAGGAAGAAGAGCAGAAAGAAGGGATAGAAAATTTCAAATGTTATTTACTTCTTTAAGTGATAGCATTTAAATTGGGATAAAAGAGGATACAGAGGGCGAAGAGGAGAGGAGTGGTAAAAACAATTTTTTGCTTATTGTAACTTACAACTTTAGTATTTTTTAGCTGATTTTTTTTTCACTTCCTTTCTATTTCGAGGAAAAGATGAGGTAGAATAGAGAACCATTAGTGGTGATGCTGTTTCGCAAAACGGTATTTTGAAAGAGATACAACTGCTGCACATGCCCCAATTAGGTTATTTTCCTATAGTTAGCGCATTGTCAAACAAAATAAATCATCAACAGCTTAACACTCTTTAAGGACAGCTAAAATATCTTCTCGGTTGCATAGCTACTTCTGCTTTTTTCTTAGCTTAGT